CTCTCTCTCTCTCTCCCTCTCTCTCTCTCTCTCTCTCTCTCCTTTCTCTTTCTCGCTCTCTCGCCTGTTTTGCCAAAAGTCTATGACCCCCTGACCGCCACCGTAATATTTTCCAGCTTCCGGGCTCCCTGCTAATCAATTCAGCTCACCCCCTAGCTAATCCAATAAGCCCCCGGGAGCAGTTCATTGGCTGTGGGCTGTAGATGAGTGATGGCGGCTTCCATTCAAAATCACTCCAACAGAACCCGGGCCAAAAGACGGCCCGTTATCTAGTGGCGCTTGTATCGATGCGTAGTCCTCGCCCATCTCTTCCCCCTTCCCGTCTTTGACGAATAAATGCCCCCTATAAATTTTTTCGAGAGTGCCATTGATGTTATTTGCGATTCGCCCTTATTCTGGGCCTTTTTGAAGTTTTTTTCTTGGGAATTTGCATGGCTTTTGACCATGAGAAATCCGAGTGCCAATTAGTTTGAAAAAAATTTTTGTCACTAGCTTTGCTTCTCTAAATTTCATTATTTTGAGCTGTATAAAACCCTTAGCATATTTTTAATTCGCTCCCCAATAGCCTTAACAGAATTTCGAAAAATAAAAGAAATCCCGAAAAATCGCCGGCCAACCCCATTTTCCGGGCTTTTTTTGATTTGTTATAAATTTCTTAAATATTCTGCTTCGGTTTGGAATTAAAATTCGTATGATATTTGTTGATGCCCTACCGGTGCGCGACGTTGCAGCCCGAAATAATAATGAAATACTGAAAAATCCACGACATTATACCCCCCCCGCTAACAAACCGGTGCCATTACATGAATTGTTATTACATGAGCAGAACCTGAATTTAAGCCATAATCCCGACAGCCAAAATCCCGACAGCCATAATCCCGACAGCCGAAATCCCGACAGCCATAATCCCGACAGCCGAAATCCCGACAGGCAAATGTGATATTTTCTGCCATTTTACCCATAAATGGTTTTAAAATCGTCGCTTTCTGGGTGTCGGTATTTTGGCTGTCGGGATTATGTATGTCGGGATTTTGGCGGCTTCCCCCTTCCTACTAATACCCGATTCCCGCCCATCCTCGAGTCATGAGTTAACATTTCACTTATTGTCGTTTTGCTTATTCGTCTAACAAGCTATCGGAAAGTCAGTTTCTCATGCAAGGGCCGCATTCCAGCGCCCAAGGCCCGCGAAGCGCGTTTTGGGCGCTGGTACGTCTAATAATTATTATTTCCATATTACGCGTCAAAAAATTTTTTCCAACCGTTCTGCGTGGTTTAGGGCATGCATGTGGTACAGCCTATACCTCACCCAGACTGAGCCAGCCGCCAACCAGCGCACACTACTCTATTTTCTGAGTAATTCTTGAATATTCAAAAATGACTTCAACATCCCGCGTCGCACCCGTAAAACTAGCTTTGGCGTATTTTTGTGACGCTTCCAGGCAACTTCGGTCGCCCTAAAAATTATAAAAATACCCTTCCAAAAACTATTTGCAATTTAATTATTTCTAAAAAATAACAGTCAAGATCGCCCCTTCCAAATCTAGCTATTTCTTTTGCGCACTATACCCAACACGCCCTAATCAAATTTAATCACGCCGGAAAGCGGCTTTGCCGTTAAGTCAAACTAATCGGTTTGTCTTGATGCGTGTAGCTGTCTCTTGCACCTCTTTCTAACGGTTATCAGATGACGCCCGCCATGTAGATGTTTCAGCCCGAAACATTCGATGTTATAACTTTGCACAATTTTTTACACCTTTTTGTGGATGATCGGACAGTTTTCATCAACCTAATTAAGTTAGCGGCTATGCCTTGAAAAGTCGCATTTAATCGCGTTTTTGGTAATTCTAGAATTTTACAAAAATATTACCTCATTTAGGGCTTTTGCATCCAATCGTTTCGTTAAAATTCGCCTCGTGTTGCCAAAAGTTTTTCGTGAAAATGACGGATCAGCTCGGCAAGAGAATTTTACGACTAGCTCAGGGGGTTTCGAGGCGTCTAGAAGTTTTCATAGTCACGTAGCACCAATAGCCCTGAAATCCACAGCAAAACGTAGACTTCTAGCAGTTCGGACACCGGCCAAAACCTCCGTTTTAGGTATGACAACAGATGTGTGGGCGCTGGTACGTGGAGACAACGAACGAGCACTTGAAGAATATTTGGAGGGCTGCGAAGGCGAGGGACATGTAAGCGCTTTATTAACATCTAAGAATATTTCTCTCTCGCTCCCTCTCGCTCTCTCTTTCTCTCTCTTTCTCTTCATCTCTCTCTCACTTTCTCTCGCTCTCTAAAACTCGCCATTTTGTAGAAACTAGAAGAAGTCTCCCGGCAACTTGACAAGGCCACTGCCGACTCGAAGAAGCGTTGCGCCGAACTGGAGAAGGCCATTTTGCTGGAGGCCCAAAACGTAAGGAGGGGTTGCTCGGAAATTGGAAACTTTAGCCTAAATGTTTAGTTCAAAGTCGAGATCCTCGCACGGCAGCTGAGCGTCGAGCGTCATATACACGCTTTGGTGATCACGAGAAACGCGAAGTACTTCAATAGGGTAAGGAAGAGAGAGAGAGAGAGAGAGAGAGAGAGAGCGAGAGGAAGCACGAGAGATAGCGAGAGAGCGAGAGAGAGAAACAGGGCGCGAGAGAAGAACACGAGAGAGGGCACGAGGAAGGGAGATATCGTGAGAGTGAGCTAGTGTTAGATATTGAGGAAGAGCTTGAGAGATAGTGAGGGAGAGAGATCGATAGAGAGAGCGTGAGCAAGAGAAAGAGCGTGAGCAAGTGAGTGAGACAGCGATACAACGTTAGATAGCCAGTAATTCGTTCTGATTTCTTGACTCATTCCCACCCACCTCCACTCACCCCAAAATCTCCATAAAAACTGCGGCGTTTAATGCGGCTTACCCGGGGAATTCTCGACTTTATTAGGGGGGTCTGGCTGCTATCTGGGTTGGGCTTTCGCCGAGTTGAGTGTATGTGTGCCCATTCTTTGGTGATAAGGCAGCATCTTCTGAATTCGGCCTGCTGCCCGCATTCCCCCCGGCCCCAGGCTGCACTCCCCTTGATTGGCTTATCGATTTGCGTATTTTTAAAAGGACTCGGAAGCGTGGCTACGGATTTTGTTGGTTGCGGTTTTGGCCTACTGATTTACGGCGTCGCGACACGTGACCAGCCTTTTCCTTCGTAATTGATTAAGGTGTTCGAGGTGGCGGACGCGTTGCGTGTCGCGGGTGCCAGAGACTTACTCTCTCTTTCTCGCTCTCTCGCTCTCTCTCCCTCTCGCTCTCCCTCCCTCTCGCTCTTTCTCTCGTTCTCGCTATCTCTCGTGGTCTTGTCTCATGCTCTTCCTCCTTATCGCCATCCCTTGTCCTCTTTCGCTCTCTCGCTTTCCCGTGGTCTCGTGCTCTCTCCTGCCCTCGGGTTCTCTCTATCTCACTATCTCATACCAATATCCATAGCTCTCTCTCTCTCTCTCTCTCTCTCTCTCTCTGGCTTTCTCGCTCCCTTCTCTCTTGCTCCTTGTTCACTCTCTGTCTTTTTCTCTTGCTCTGTCGCTCTCTCGCTCTCCCTTGCTGGGCTCTTTCAATACTAGGTTTTTTTGAAAGTTATTCTTGCCCTTTTTCCTCGGGATCAAATCCAATGTTGTTTTTCACAGTCTGTTTGCTTTTAACTCCCCGCATTTATCGGCTTCACCGCGGGCAAGCTTTCATTTCCGGCCACTCAGCCAAAAATTCCCAGCTTTTGCAGCTACAGCGCACTACTAGCTTTTCCTACACCCCGTTAAAGACCCGGCTTGACCTTTATCACTGGAAAGGCTGTGGGCGGCTGTAAAAATTATTATCTGAAACGGGCGAGCAGCCTCAAAGTGAGTGCCTCACCCAGCAATCAATGTTTGTTTACGATTCCAGGGCGGTGCCTTGAAAATGCTTTTTGCCTTTGAAAAAATGTTTTTAGGATGCTTTCGATAGCTCCCTCACTCTCTGTACCTCTTCCTGTCTCGCTCTCTCTCTCTCGCTTTCTCTATCTTTCTCTCTCTCTCGCTCTCTCTCTCCCTGTCTCTATCTCGCTTTCTCTCTCGATCCGTCTACCTCTCTCGCTGACTCTCTCACCAGCTCTCTCGCTCGCTCACTCGCTCTCTCTCCCTGTCTCTCTCTCGCTTTCTCTCTCGATCGCTCTACCTCTCTCGCTGACTCTCTCACTAGCTCTCTCGCTCTCTCTCACTCGCGCTCTCGCGCTCTCTCTCCCGCTCTCTATCTCTCGCTCTCCAGCGTTCTCCAACGAAACGCAACGCCCTCCCACCCGCGTTGTGTTTCGCTATCTCCCATTTCCAGAGATTTCCGACCAGCTCCAGTGGACGCTCCCTTCGCGCCGACTATTTTGAGCAGAAGCGGCTGCGAGAGGCAAGATTTTTGAGCTCTACGAAAACTTGCGAGGTTCCAGAAGGAACGCCAGGCGCTCACGTCAAATAGGACGCCGAAGGTCGCGGAAAAGCCGGAACGGTAGGTGTTGCTGAGTTTTAGATTTTCTAAACTTCGGGTTTAAATTGGATTAATTAGACTTGAAGTAACAATTAGGGAGACTTTTACAGACCTCAATCCCTGGAGAAGCTTGGCCCCGTCAAGGAGCCGCCACCGCTGACCCTTTTGCAAAGGATCAGAAAGGCAAAGATGTCAGGTGGGTAGCAAGGGATTATTTAGCTATTACACATATATACAATATCAAATATTATCACATATTTATTTTATTGCATACTCAGCTTAAGTTTCCTAAGGTTTAAATTATAAAACATCGATAAACTCGAGTTTTTAGGTCAACTCCCAGCTCATGATCCACCACCTGTACCTGCTGGAGATGCGGTATTTCAGAGAGGGAGAGGGAGAGGGGGGAGAGGAGAAAGAGAGAGAGAGCAGAGAGAGGAGAGATCGATTTCCGGCCTTTAAGAGTCCAACCACAATTCAACCGCCCTCCCTGGCCTACCATGAATTTCGGGAGCAAGTCGAGGTCGGAAAAATGGTGGACCGTGTTAATTCTGGAGCTTATCGGTCAGTTTTACCATAGCGACGGTTTTGCCGTGACGCTAAACGCAACGCGAGCGTGTTTCTGTGCTTTTGAACTGTCATAATCCATTGCGCAGGCCAGAGCGTGCATGTGCGCTGCGTGTCGTCTTGCGTGTAGCGTTGCGTGCCACGTTGCGTGTCAAGCTGCGCCTTGCGTTGTACGTCGCGTTGCGAGCGACGTTACCTGTCGCATGTCGTGTCGCGTTGCGTGTCACGTTCGGTGTCGCGTTGCGATTCATCCCGCGTGGCAGGTTGTGTGTCGCGTTGCGTGCCACGTTGCTTGTCACGTATTTAAGACAGAGCACACACGATTTTTAGAGAACAACGCGTACCCTCAATACTACAAGAGGACACTGTTGGCGAGCAGACTGAGGTGAGCACGAGCTTTTTCACCTCTTAAACACCGTTCAGCACGACCAGCCCGTCAGCCACATCCGCCAAATCCATCACGAGGCCACAAAGTCGCCCTCAATCCAATCTACCGAAACCTCGTCCTCCCACGAAAAACCGAAGACCAAGATCACCTCCAAAGTGCGCTCCGCCATTCTGTCCACAGCCAAGAAGCTGACCCGGGGTCGTAGCGGGAGCTCTGGGTCTGGGGGGAGTCGCAGGTCCACGCAGGAGATCCACATCGTTTCTCAGGCCGATGCGCATCCCGGTGATCCGGACAATATCGAAAATCGGCTCCAAGAGACTTTGGTCCTTGACGTTCCACCTCCAGTAGAACTTCATCGCAGTAGAGAGCTGGAAGAAACACATTCAAGCAGTTCGACCGGATTGATTTTGCAAACCGAGGTCTCGGCCACCGTCCATGTTCATCGACAAAGCGATCAGATCCACCTTGAGCACCACCAGGGGGTGGATCATCTTCACGGAGTCGAGCTGAGACGTGAGCACGAGCATTATGATCCTTATAAGGATTCTGATGAGATGTACGAGCAGTATTCGGCTCCGAAGGGTGTTCTTGGGACTGGACAGGGTGCGTCCGTATCATTTCGGAAAGACGAGGAGTTCGAGCAGTACAGCGCTCAGAAGACCATCATTGGGGTTGGCGCTTCACCGACTTCAGGTGGGATCGGGCATGGTGCGTCCATAACAGTTGGAAAGTCCGAGGTCTTCGAGCAGCACAGCGGGCAGAAGAACATCATTGGGAGTGGGAGTGAGCTTCGGCGGCTTCTGAGGGGTGTTGTGGTTGGACATGGTGCGTCTGTCACTCTGTCCGCAACACCTGAGAAAACCCCACGTTTTCGAGCAGTACAGCCCTCCAACAAACATTGTTGGGCTCGGAGCCTCACCTACCGGAACTTTGCCGATAATAGGCCGAGGCGCGACACGAACAAGTTCAAGCCCAAAGCCCTATGACCGCTACACCCCCACAGGTTACTCCCCGTCCACAAAATCACCAACCTTTAAAGTGCCACCCATCCCCACCGAGGCCATCGAGCCGTACAGCCCTATGCCTGACGTTGTCCTAAAGAAGGTAGGTGAACAAAAGTCAGCTCACTACAACGCCTACGGTGCTGACGCCGAGATCGCTGCCGCTTCACAACGTCACCTCATCTCCCGGAACCACAGCTCGACGAATCCGGATATGCAATTCCCGAAAGGGCATTATCACCGCCCCCGATGCCCCGCCCACAGAGAAGAAGTGGACCTGAGGGGCACAACAACTTCGGCCAGTTCAAGGAGCAGAACCCCCACAGACTACGAGGTTGCTGATTACATGATGGAGACGGCGAGGTTGGATGATGCTCGTATCGAGCACAGAGCCGTCGATGACACCCCCAGGATCAGTGAGCGTGTCCTCAGCCCAGTCGAAATGGAGCGCGTACTCAGCCCCGTGCTGCCGGGAGCACGAGCTGCGGACGAAACTCCACTGTGATGACGACCTCTCCGAAAAAGCTCAGAAAATCACTGCAAGAGGCCGAGAGATCCGGCTTGCCCAACCAAAGGAGAGGGCAGTCGATGTACAACACCGCAGGTTTGGAAGCGTCTTCCAGCGTCTCGTCCACGGATTTTGTGCAGGAGGTGATGTCGAGGAGGGCTTCAACTTGGATGGGGCTCCCATAGAGCTGTGCCGAGTACGGTGACTCCGCCCTCGACGCCGTTGACCGCGTAGGTTGACGCTGTTCTGCTTAAGGGCTTGATTTTAGGACCATTACATCGACGGCGAACCCCTTGGCTGCGTACGCACGTCAGAGAGTCATCTGGAGACGCACGATGAACATGCTGAATATGATGAAGTGACGGTGGAAAGGGTGCAGCAACAGAAGGTGGGTGAGAGAGCGAGGAGAGAGAGGGGAGAGAGAGAGAGAGAGAGAGAGAGAGAGAGAGAGAGAGAGGAGAGAGAATATGTTCCAGGTGGAGCCCATCTACTCCGAAGTCGCAGAAACCCACAGCCCCACAAGCCGAAGCTCATCTTCAAGCCAAAAACCGAACTCCACCGAGCAGGCAGATCTCAGCTTCTCGAAGAGATCCGCAACCGGAAATGGAAACCTGAACCGGTGGTGCTCACCAACTACACGGTACACACCGAACCATCACGACCCACCAGCCGGTACCCGCACCACGCAACCATGAATATGACGAGGTGGCCAGAGAGGTGCCAGTGAGACAGGCGTCGCATCGAGAGGTATGTTTTTAAAGGTGTTCTAAAGGCGCCAGATTCGACGTATTTGGTAGACTAGGTCTCGACGGCGACTGCAGCTCATCCGGCCAAACCCCTCTTTTTAGGTATTCGGCCATTCCCAACTCTCCGGAACCTACACCTCCACGGTCGAGACACACCTCGGCGAGGAGAACATCTACGAGGAGTTGATCACTATCAAATCGTCCCGCCAAACAGAACTCCACGACCTCCCAGAAGACGTCTGCAGCCCCTCCCCCTCCCCCACCTCGGCCCCACCCCCGCGTGATGTGCACCGGGCTCGCGAGGAGTTTGCCCATCGACACGACTCGAGTGCTGAGCGAAAGTTTAAGGTAAGTAGGCTTAGTGGACTTCTGTTTCGGCTTAGGCCTGGGCCTAGCTTAGCTTAGGCTTAGCTTAGGCTTAGCTTGGTCATAACACCTAAATTTCAACCCTTTTCAGGGCAACAAGTACGAAGACGAACCAGCCCCGAACCCACCGAAGATGAACACCTTGACTGGGAGCTAATCTACACGACGAACGCCATCCGCCAGATGAGCCGCAACAACAAGTGGAGGGAGAGCATGCTCAACAAGGACAAAATCCCGCCCGTCCCCAAGAAGACGAAGGAACTCCCCGCCGATGTGCTGCCTAAGAATTCGCCATTTACAAGACCGGCGGAGAGCCCGAGCTCGGGGAGGAAGACGCCGACTTCGTGGACCAAGAATGAGGGCTTCACGTTTTCGGTGCCGGGGATACAGAGAATCGCCAGTGGAGGATGAGATGGAAGAGGAGAGGAGCAAGAGAGCAGCGCCAGAAGCCTGGGAGCATGAGCGTGTCGGGGTCAAGCAGGTGCCAACGAATATTGCACGAGGTGAGGGTTTGCTAGAAGCTTGTTCATCTACCGAAAAAGCGGAAATAAATCCATTTAGGTCATCAAATCACGGTGCCGCGAGTGGCCCAACCCAAGGAGGTGGTGGAACCCCAGCCGGTAGATCGACAACCCACTCACCAAGCCCCTGTTGCGCCTCGACGTGCCACGACGGAGGAATCCTACCACTTCCAGGGTGTCAAGAATTTACGCCAGCAGTTCTGGTGAGTTTCAAAAGAACCGACAAGCCAATAAAAACCACGATTCGAAACGTCGAAATTTCAAAATTCGGGTTTTCAAAATTTCGAGAATTAGCGAGATTTTGGCATTATTAGTTTTAACGTGGTGGATTTCGACATTTTGCAGTTTCAACATTACGGAAATTCCGACTTTTTAGAATTAATTGTAAGCCAGCTTGACCAGCTCCATTCCAGCTCCCCAGAAGCCGCGCCATGGCGTCGTACCCAGTCCGTTGGAAACGTGTACGAGGTGCCGAGGGCAAGGCTGGAGCACGGTGATGATCTGAGGACAAGACCTGGGCCTCTGAGTGAGGTTCCAAGGGGAGGCCCAGCTCGACCTCATCCCTATTGGATACGACAACGCCATCGACACCGATTAAGCAACCGGCCAGGACACATCAGGACACGCCGAGGGTCGTCAGGAAGGAGGTCACCTCGCCGCTTCCTCGGATTCAGGTCCAGGCCTCGGCCCGTTGATTTGAGCCCGTTGACGGCTGATGCTCAGCAGAGGTATTGAGTTCCTTTCGCTCTCTCTCTCTCTCTCTCTCTCTCTCTCTCTCTCGCACTCGCTCCACCACCTATTTTTTTTAGATTCTACACCCTACGCTCACCAAGCCCACGAGCCCAAACGACACCAAGCCCACTGGCTAGGTGAGTCTGATTCAAGCTTATAAAACCAAATTTCCCAGATCCGAGGCAGAGCTTCGAATTGGTGGCGGCGCGCAACCAGGCCAACACTTCCACTCCAAGCCCCCAGAAAGCGACCAGCACGAGGTTCGACACCAGGAGCACCACCTGGAAAAAGGTGGAGCACGAGTAAAGGGACTGAAAGTGGCTTTTCGAAACTATGAGATTCGAAAAATTATTACCCGTAATTTAGAAAATCACTACGAGGAGATCGAACACGGTGAAGTAATCACGAAGCCTGGAAGTGCAGCACCAAAAACCGGTGGAGCACACCATGATGAGCCTGCCAAGGAAAATGGACATCACCCGCATGGGCCCGACTACTCACCGTACCCACATCACTTTACGAACACACACCTATGAACCCTCATGAAACATATGGACCGACGCATCATGGACATCAATACATACAACATCATCAGAAGACGGACGGAGGCGTCATGGGGAAAATCGAGAGGATAGAAGATATGTACACTACGGACATCATCATAGCGAATCATCATCGGGAACAGGTTCAGTGTAGGAGAGAGAGCGAGAGAGAGAGAGAGAGAGAGAGAGAGAGAGATACCAAACTTAAGCTACTGTGCAGATCATCCCTAGAAGGAAACCTCAGCCCCACTACGACCCCCCCTACCATACGAAAAACCCGTGACGGAGACCGTTTCTGTACCCTTGAAGCCCTCGAATCTCCTGTCCGTATCCCCGGCCCCTCCCTACAAATCCACCCTCCGACACGAAACGGAAGCCTAAACAGCCCCCATCCTCCCCGCCGAGGAGCCTGGAGCCCGAATTTGTGGAGGTCCCAACGCGAACTTTACCGAAAAAATCGAGGAAAACCGAAAGACGGCTGAGCAAACTAACGAAACAAGAAGGCAGGAACAACGGGAAAGGCCGATCGAGCTCCTAGCAGAACAGGAGGATAGACGAAGAGAGGAAGAGAGAAGGAGAGCAGATATAGAGAGGACAATGAGAGAAGGGGCTGAAGAGGAGGAGAGGGTCAGGAGAAAGCGAGAAATGGAGAGGGAGAGGCTGGAGGGAAGAGGATAGAGAACGGAGACGAAGAGATGAGGAGAGGAGGAAGAGGGAGGAGGAAGAGGCGGGAGAGGAGGAGGAGAGGAAGAGGAGGCAGATGGAGATCAAGGAGAAGGAGCAGGTGAGGTGCGACGGCTGGAGCTGGAGCGGCTAAGGGCTATTGAGGTAGGGCGAGGAGAGGTCGGTGACCATTGAGGAGAGCTAGCAGAGACCATTGAAGAACGAATCTTATCCTCCGAAACCCTAGACCGAAAAAGAGAATCGTCGGCGGGCGGAGGAGCGTGAGAAGAGGAGAAGGGCCGAGGAAGAGGAGGAGGAGCAGAGACGCCAAGATGATAGAGCGACGAGAGGAGGATGGACGCCTCTGGCAGCTCGAGTAGGTGAGAGGAAGTAGAAGAGGAGATGAGGAGGAAGCGGGAGGGCAGATCCGCATTCAACGCGACTTACCGCGATGCCGACATTTGAAGAACCGAGGAGCACATCTACGATCAGGTGTACGAGCCGTTGGAGAGACCGGAGAGAAATGGAGAGAATCGAGGAGACAAGAACGCAGCAACGGGTAGGTAGCATTGAAGTGGACTGGGAAGGCAGGAGCGATGGATTTCATAAGCAGCGAATTTTTGCCGGTCCAGCAACATGGCGGGTATCACTTGGAGCACTACGAGGACGAGGAGATTTGAGAAGACGGTGAGACCGGCGAAAGGAGGGCATTTGGTGGCATGATGGCCGAGATGTGGGTTTGAGAGGGAGCAAAGTGACGGCAAGAATCCGTAGATGACCGTGTTCCCGATCGCTACAGCGCATCATTACGATGAGATCTACTACCAGTTGGTTCCTGAGCAACGACCTGCCCGGAATTCCGGAGCATACCGACTTGACGTGGGTTTTAGGTGTTGCTCTAACACACGGATCTCTCTCTCCTCTCTCTCTCTCTCTCTCACGTCTATTCAATCACTTCTTTAGTAATGCCGCAGAGGCAACCGAACACCATCTAAAGCTCGGTTTTGCTTCCCGCTTTGCATGCGCTGCCTCACACTCCCGACCTCCTCGACTCCCCCAGATTGCTGAAAACCCCCGATTTTAGGAATGCTGAAGAGGGGTGACGGTAGGAGACGAAGACCAAGGTGGTCACCACTGTCAAGCGCCGGAACGTCAGCCGTAAGAAAATAGGGAAGTCGAGTGAGCAGCAAAAATTTAGGGGCGAAATCTTCGAGAGAGGAGTATCTGACTGGAAAACTCGACGCGTTTCCGACATCCGTTCATCTGACGACGCCTATTCAACGGCTACAGGAGTGGGTTTGGCGGAGAAAGAGAGAGGGAGAGGTGAGGAGAGTGAGAGAGAGGAGAGGAGGAGAGAGAGTGAGAAAACGCTTCCAACGACTGTTTTCAGCTCCAACACCTAACGTCACACTTACCATACACCTGCCGGGGACCAGGGTCATTTACAAAGAGCTGGTGCTACACTCTGGCTGTAGGGCGCCAGCCCGATCTACGACACCGTATAAGAGGGAACATGACAGGCACCGGGTAGGCAGATGATACCGTAAACGGGACTTGGAAGTCAAAAGATCACTAAAATCAGGCATGGCAATCGGCCAGCCGATCGGCTTTTTCGGCCTGGATTTGAATATCGGCTTAAGAATTCCGGTTCGGCTGATCACTTCCGGAATTGGTCATTCCAGGGCCGATTTTCGGCCTCAGTCGGCCCGGCCGATCGGCCGAGCCGAAAGCCGACATGTTAGTTACTAAGCAAAATTTCCTCAAAAAAAATCCCGAATCTATTTTCTCCAATTTATTTTTATCGTTTTGCTTAAGAAAATAGAATGCCTAGCGGACCTGATCGGCATTTTGAATCGAAGCGGCGAATCGTGAATTATCAACCGTGATTTTGGAATCGATATTTCGGCCGGTGTTACCCAGGCTCGGGTCCTTGTTGTCGATATTTTATTCTGGTACTGCGCACGCGACAATACATGTCTAGCCCCATCCATTATGGTTTTTCTCATTTACATCAATTTACAAGCAATTTAAGATAGGTCGGCTAAGCTGAACGGCTCGGCCGATTTCCAAAAAAATTGGCTGGGCCGATCGGCTCGTGGGCTGAAAAATTAGTATGAGCAATCGGGCCCGGAAGTGGCCGAATTAGTTTCGCGGGCTGGTTTCGGCCGATCGGCCCGGCCGGCCGATTTTGCCATCCCTAAAAATCGCAATTTTGGGACATAGCTACGCGATGATACGCAAACGCCTCCGCTGCGCGTCGAGCGGGCGTGCACAAAGGCATCGGCGGCACTTTGCATTTTTAAACCCGCCCTTCCGTCACCATCCCTTTAATCCATCGTCAGGAATCCATTTTTCGACTCCCTTCTGCTACCTTTACTGTACCACGAATGGGGGTGAGGTTCATATTTCGAATCAGCCCT